TTAATAGTTGATTTATAAAGTCTTTCTGCCATAGAGCATCTGCTTCAAATATTTTTGCTAATTCTGGTTGTAATATTCGTCAATACTCTATCGTTTTCTGTTTCTTTTATCTGCTCAAGCTTCACAATATCTAACTCTACTAAGTATATGAAGGTATTTTGTTTTTTTTTCTAAATCTTGTGGTAAAAAAGAAAATCGCAATGATGCATTGGCATAAGAAAAAGTTGTATGTTGTATAAAAAAGGAAAACATGAAGATGGGTAAGAGTTATAAGGTTGTTTTGATGTTCAAGGAAAAAAACTGGATTAATTATTATGCTATAAAAAGTTTTTATGAAGGGACAGATACAGTAAAAGGATGCAACTTATTGAACAAATAGCCAATCAAGAATGAGTTTTGGTTTATTGTTATAGAGATGATGGCTCGTTTGAGCATTGACCATGATTGTATTTGTAGAAAAAAGAAAGAAATGCAACCTTACAACTATGGAAGAGTAGCTCAAGCTTGGCAGATATGACAGGTCTAATTTTTTAAGTTTAATTAAGTTTTTGGACTTTGTCTGAGAGTAAGAGGGTTGTTATTCGTCAATATAGGAATGCCAACAATATTGCAATATTTTTTTACAGTAAAATGTAGATTTTAAGTCCAGAATTAAAATCCATAAGCCACTGCAAGCCTTAGGCTGTTACAGAAGAGAGATCAGACTTAAAATTGGCTGTTTTTTTTCTAAGCAATCAAAAAGTGAAGATTTTTGTCAAGACAAGAGGATAAACTTGAGTCATGAGCAAATACAGCCACTTTAGATTTCATGAAGATTGTTATTGTAGATAAGAAATAATACAGGATCAAAGATAGAACCTTGTGGTACCCTTAAAGTTACTTGAAATAAAGAAGAAATAAAGGGTGGGCCTTCAAAAATAACTTTACTACTGTAGTTAGAAAGAAATAATTTAAAAACCTCAAAACCTTTATATAAAAAAACTGATGCTTTTACTTGAGCAATACTTTAAAGTATTGTGAACGATATTCAAACCACTAGTTTAAATATTGTAATATTTGTATTAACTTTTTTTATTTATATTTAGTAATAGAAAACTATTTTAGTTTACGTTGGCAATAAAACAGGTGTTTATTTTTAAAGAGTATTTAATTGTTATTGTAAAAAGCTATAAAACAACAATAAAACAACCTGCAAAATTGTTTTAACAATATAAAGAGCTTGTGTTAATGTAAACAACTTCGTGACACTGTTGTATTGCTGTTTTATACGGTTTATAACTTTAATAACATAAAACGAGTTTAGAATAAAACAAAGTAAATAAATAGAATTGTTCTAATTAAAACATTATTGCCATAAAACTTTTAACTTCATACTTGCACAAAAACATACCTATATACCATATGAGTCTGTAACAGACCAAACAAGTAAGATCAAAGCAAAAAAACATTAGATACCACGTTTTTTATAATTTATTGTTTTTTGATCTAGCGTACTATTAAAAATTTAAGTATAACTAAGTTTTTCATTCAAATGGTTTGTGGATGTTTTTATTCAATTTTTTCATCCAAATTGTTTGATAAATCAAATTATATTTCCTTAAGTTTAAGAATATGCTTAAATTATTTTTTTAAATTATTTTTAATTTTAATTTTAATTTTTTATAATTTAATTTTTAATTTAACTTTTGTTATCAATGGTTTTATGTTTGCAATAGAATGTTTCTACTTTTAAAACTACTTTCAAGAAACAAAATATAAATAACTATTCAAAATGCTACGATTTAAAGGGATCCCCAACTGCTGAGACAAGTTGTGTTCATATCAAAGAAAATATTAAAAAAAAAAACATTTGCACTAAATTTTTTTGATTGAAACTAAATAATGAATGCATACCAACAAAATTAAAATTTTCGTTTTAGTCGAAGCTCGCTTTCTCCAATTTTTTTCGGTTCTTGGGCTCTGTATAATGTTAGCCGCAATCTGCAGACTTCATAATTTATTCAATACGTGTTAATTCATAATAGTTTTGGTATATGATGTCATCACAAAATCTTTTTAAGATAGCGTTTTTTTGTTTTTTGTTTTTTAAGATATAAGTATTTTTTCTACTACAATCAGAAAATAAAATATTTTATATAAATATATATATATATATAATTTTTTTTTACGTGTTTTAGTATTACTTTGTTGTAGAAGCCAGCCAAAATCATGACACAACTATATATATTTTGTGATTATTAGAGTAATCGCAGGCAGAGAAAAACTAAAGGCAGTATGATGCTGTTTTTCATTTTATATTTAGTTCATATGGTTTAATAGAGTTGTTTGTTTTATGTTTAATTTAGATTTATTTATGGCTTAACTCTTTCACTACCGCAAGCTGCTTGTAGCAGTATGCTTTACGATTTATCTTGCTTTGTACATAAATTTCCATTCTTGACTTTTTTAAAGCATTTCTTATTGTTTAATGATGCGTGTTGAAAACTTTATTATTATCAAATTTTAATTAATTGTCAATGTTCAGAAGGTTTAATTAATTCTCTACATAATCAAGAAAAAATAAGAGCTATATTGTCAAAGTTAAAAAATCCTGAATAATCCATCATAAAAAAAACATTAAATTTAGTTATAAAATAAAACAGCGTACAACAGTAATTACCAAAGTATTTTGAAGAAAAAATATTATTTTTATTTATTAAATGAGGTTTGTTTTGGACTTAATGTTTTAGTTACTACTTACAAAAACAATAGTTTTAAGCGCTTTGCATTTTTTATTGTTTAATTCGTAATGCGAATTGTCAATGTTATGCTATTCAAATGTTATTCAAAAAAATGTGCGGTTGCTACAAAAAGATTTTTGTTTGGCTGGTAGCAAACAATTTAATGTGATTCTTTGTTTTTATAATTATATAATAACTATTTCTTCAAGAAATAGTTATTATATAATTATAAAAACAAAGAATTACATTAAATTGTTTGCTACCAGCCAAACAAAAATCTTTTTGTAGCAAACTTGAATAAAACATAAACTAAACTAAGTAGAAAATAAATATTAAACGACTTATTTTACTAATAACCGTTCAAATCAAACTAAATTAAAGTTTAAACAAATATTTGTACTAAAATATACAAGACTTGTATATTTTAGTACAAATATTTGTTTAAACTTTAATTTAGTTTGATTTGAACGGTTATTAGTAAAATAAGTCGTTTAATATTTATTTTCTACTTAGTTTAGTTTATGTTTTATTCAAGTCACTTGTTTTTTATTCAGTTTACACTTTAAATTAATTTATACGCTTTTGTAAAATTAATCTTTTAGTATCTAGTTTATATTTAGTTTAAACCAGTACATTTTACTGTAAATATTCATTATTTATTAAATTTTAATTTTTATAAATTTTATAAATTTAATTTTTAATTGCATCATAAACTTTTTTTGGGATTTAGTAAAAAGTTGTACAATTAACATGATTTGGTAATTTTGACAAAAAAATAATACGACATCTTGAAAGAAAAGCTTGATGATGTCATATACCGAAACTGTTATGAATTAAACACGCAGGAATAAATTATCAAGTCTGCAGATTGCGGCTAACATTATACAGACTCAAAATAAAATTCAACTAAAACGTGAATTTTAAATATAATAGTGTGCATTCATTATATAGTTTTAATCAAAAAAATTTAGCCCAAATGTATTTTTTTTTAATTTTTTAAATATGAACACAACTTGTCTCGGCAGTTGGGGATCCCTTTAATAAAACTTTCTTTTAATAAATCCCTTTAATAAAACTTGCACTATGTTCTAAATCTGATATTATTACTATAGCTAGATATATGTTTAACTTTCAGCAACGATTTTGGCTAAGCTTGGTATTACTAAATTGGTATTATGGGCACTGCTGAATTAAATTTAAAATTATTGAGCGTTAAATTTTTTTTAATTTTTCCTTTTTTTTTTCAATTTCAATTTTCAACCGCAAAATTATTTGAATAATAAAATTTTAGAATACTAAAATTCTTTTGTTCAAATAGATTTCTTTTTAAACAATATTCTTAAAAATAACTTATGTATTTATAGAAAATGCTTGATCTTGATATCACTTTAAATAAAATATTAAAAAATGGTATCACATTTTATATATTTTTGAGGTTTCTTTTTTAAATAATTATTAGTTAGAAGCTTATACTGTGTTAACAACATATAAGATATAAATAGAAACATTTATATGGCTAATTTTTGTAAGTCTTTTAGTTAATTAAGTAAATTTAATAGTTAAGTAACTGTAAGTTACTGTAGTAATTAACTGATTATTTTGATTTAGTTTAAAGGTAAATTTACTGTGATATACTTCATCCATTCAGTAAATCAAACTAAATATAACTTTAAAATAATACTGGTTTCCAGGCAGAGATTTAAATTAAATTAAATTCATGAGCGCTTTATGTTGAATAAAATCTCTGTGCAAGAGAGCGAAGATTATACTTCTATTCAAAAGATAAATTTAGCATGACATACTTTATGACCCCTGATAAAAAACTTAGACAAAAATAAGAATAACTAAAAAAAAAGCTCAGTTAAAAAAGAAAAAAAACTTAGTAAAAAAAATAATAAATTGCAATCGCTTAATTTGAGCCCTGAAAAACTATGTCTATTTGGCACCTGACTTATGAATTATTGCTAAACAAATTTATAAAAGGTATTTATGTAGTTAGCTTTCTTCATGCCACACTCTTACTATATCTCCCAGACAAAATACAACATGAAAAAGCAAAACCATCAACCTACTAAACACCAAACTAGATTTTGTGAAGACATATATTTTTTAAAAATTATTTTTTAAAAACTATGCTATACAAAAATCTAAAAATAAGATTGAATTATTAATATACCTTTTCTTTTTTTTTAATAAAATAAAATAAAGCAAAAAAAAATGTATTTTTTTTACAAAAACTATGCTATACAACCTAAAAATAAGATTGGGTTAATAATATACCTTTCATAAACTCCTTTAACTTATGATTTGGTATGTTGATATAGCCCAATTGTTTTAATCTCTCTTTTATTTCTTCTTCGGAAAAATCCATTTTGCATTAGCAGTTAAATTATTATCTATTTAAATATATATATATATATATATATATATATATATATATATATATATATATATATATATATATATATATATATATATATATATATATATATATATATATATATATATATATATATATATATGTATATATATATATATATATATATATATATATATATATATATATATATATATATATATATATATATATATATATATATATATATATATATATATATATATATATATATGATCATCAAAATATATATATATATATATATATATATATATATATATATATATATATATTATAATATATATATATATATATATATATATATATAATATATATATGTATATATATATATGTATATTATATATGTATATATATGTATATATATATGTATATTATATATATATAAATGTATATATAAATGTATATATTATATATATATATATATATATATATATATATATATATATATATATATATATATATATATATATATATATATATATATATGTATATGTATATATTATATATATTTATATATAATAATATATATATATATGTATATATATATATATATATATATATATATATATATATATATATACATATATATATATATACATATATATATATATATATATATATATATATATATATATATATATATATATATATATATATATATATATATATATATACATATATATATATATATATGTATATATATATATATATATATATATATATATATATATACATATATATATATATACATATATATGTGTGTGTGCTTGCATATATCTTCAGGAGAGTGTTCTATGAATTACAGTAAATTAAAAATAAATTAAAACAAACTAGTTAAAAGAGCTTGATTTTTTACCTGATGATTGCATTTAACATGAAACTTATAGTTGTATCAACACTCCACACATGTTTTAAAATATGTTTTTAAAAATCCACAATTAAAAAACTTTCTATCCATTATTTTGTGGGTTTTTAAAAAACAATAAAACTGAATGTACTTCCAGATTATTTAAATTGCTTTGACTTTTAGAAGACATAAAAATGTAGCCTATTTGTTGAAGTCGCGTAATTGCTATTAAAAGAGACTTTTTTTACCATAAAAGTTTCTTTTGAATACGAGATAAGGATATATATATATATAATATATAATTTTATTATAAATACGAGCGCATGTTTAGATAACATCTTTGATATCGTACTGAAATAGCCTGTAAGTGAAATATATTTTACTGAAAATTTTAGCAAAAAAATCTCAAAACAGTTTAATAATGTTAATGCTTTTTGCCATATTACATTCCTAAAATTGTTAGGAATGTAAATAGCATTAAACTTAAATTATTTTAATTTGAATCAAATTTATGTCTTCTAAAAAACTGCAAAAAAAAAAAGAAAACTTGAATAAAAGTAATGAAAAGAGAATGTTCAAAAAACACTTTCTGTTTAATGACTTTAGCATTTGACAAATGGCTTGAGTTTAATGACTTGAATCATTAAACTCAAACTATATATACAAATAATATTTAAACAGCTAAAATAGTATTTGTGCAAATGATAATAATGTTTACACATCATAAAAGGGGACCAAAAACATGTAAATACGTTGATGAAATTGTTTTAGCCAAGCTTTAAGAAAGTGAACTTTTAGTAGGTAATTATAATATTTTTTTTTTTTTTTTTTTTTTTTTTTTTTAATTCGCCTCCTCAAGGCCGAGAAGGCCACTACAGACGAGGAGGCTACTTATTTGTGGTTATAACCCTCTCTCAACTCTATAACTCCGAAACACGAACCTTGACGAACAAGGCCGCTGCGCGGAGAAACAAGTTGAGCGCGGTACTACCAGGGACGTGGGGATCGAACTCGGAACCACTCGTTTATGAAGCGAGCGCTCTACCACTACACCACTACCGCATATTATAATATTATATTATTATAATATTATAATATATAATATTATTTATATATTATATATTATAATATTATAATATTATTTGTTGCATATTATAATATTATAATATTATTTGTAAGTATAATATTATTTTATTGTTTTATATGACACTATGTACCATAAAAATATACCAATTTATATTATATATTTGATGATATTTATTGGAAAAATTATTGTTATTGTTGCTGTTTTTGTAATCTCACAAAAGTAATTTTAACAACCTAAATAATAATCAAAAAAAAAAATTTTCTCTAATACTATAAGAGAAAAATTATTTTTATCTAATTATTATTTTAGATTGTTAAAATTATTTCTCTTATAGTAATAAAGGAAATCAAATCAATATATTTTCACTTTAATAATAACTATATATATATATATATATATATATATTATATATATATATATATATATATATATATATATATATATATATATTATATATATATATATATATATATATATATATATATATATATATATATATATATATATATATATATATATATATATATATATATATATATATATATATATATATATATATATATATATATATATATATATATATATATATATATATATATATATATATATATATATATATATATATATATATATATATATATACAATCGTGCAGGACATTTACAAACATTTATAAACTGATGGTAATAATAATAATAATAATAATAATAATAATTATAAATAAGAATAATAAATAATAATAACAATAGTAATAATATTAAATACAGTAATATAAAACAGTATAATCTATATATATATTTTACTTCTATAATCAAAATAAAACATTTGTAGCAAATAGTGATTATCGTTGATAATAATGCGAAATAAAAAATATAATTTAAAAAAATATGACGGATAAAAAGAAGAAAAGAAAATGGAGAGAAGTTTAACGACTTGGAAAGAAGAGTTGAAGAAGTAGAAGTCCTAATAGAGTTTTATTATGAACCAGAATTTTTTAAGCATAGTATTTTAGAAGGAAATAGAAATACTGAATATGCATTAAAGTAAAATAAAAAGAATTGAAAAAAAATTGTTATAGAGAAATAAGCGAGAGCAATTGTTTAGAAGTGGTTTGTTTATTTTTTATTAATTACATGTTACATGGTTTAATAACAATGCCACAAACTTTAGAGCCATATAAACTTTATAGGATGATGAAAATGTGTTTGATTGAGACTAAATGAACATTTATATACTTTTTATGTTTTATTTTTAGAGTTTTATATTTTTATTATATGAGTTTTATATTTTCATTTCTATTTTATGGGTTTTATATTTCTATTTATTAGCTTTATACTTTTAGAACAACTAGGGGGTGATAGCATAAATGATAGTTCAATGATTATTTTCATTGAGGATAAACTTTTTTACATGGGTCATGAAGGAATTCGCATTTATCATTTTATAGAATATTTTTTTAGTTTCAATAGGAAGAGAATTGATTGATACTTGATTGATTTTATGTCATACTTATGTATTTGTTTTAAAGGCATAGAGACTGCAATAAGATACAGACCTAAGTTTATAACTATTATAATTATTTGTGAATTTAAAATAGCTAGTGAAGCAGCTAAGCATATTATTATGTCCCATACAAGTACACAGTTTGATAAGTAGATAAGTTCATCAAGCTTTAAAATTTTAGAAAGTAATTTGTAAGTTTACTTTTAATGCTTTTCTGGAATTGATTTTAAAATGATAACAGAAGAAGTAATAACAATAAGAAAAGTATTTATAAACTGAAGCCTTCATAATTACTTTATTTTTCATTGTAATTATAACTTTTGTTGTCTTTTTAAAGGTAATTCCAAGAACACTGATATACTGGAATCGCGGTAAAATAAAAATAAAAGCTCGTGAAATTTTTTACTTTTGAATGAGAGGCACACGGTTAAAAACGTGTCTCGAAGACAGCCGATCAATCCGATAGATAGTCGCGTAGCGTATTTAAAATATAATCATTATTAAACAAAACAATTTAAAAATACTAATTAAATAAGTTCACATTGCACTTTTTCGAGACCAACATCGTCAGTGTTATAATGCCTAAATGGGGTTCGTGACCCTCTTAAGCAGAGTAGGGAGGCTCTAGTAATCTCCATGGAAAGACATGCCCTTAGCCAATTTATAACAGCTCCGTACCGCTCACCCATTTTTAAGGACAGTTTCTAGCGAGTAGCGTATTTAATTTTTTTTTTTTTTTTTTTGCTGTATTTTTTTGTGTTTTCGTTGAAGAACGTGATAATTTTTTTGTTATATTGGTAAAAAATAAACAAGATAAATACAAATTTAATACAAAAAGGGTGTATACAAAAAATTATTAAAAATATATTAATAAATCATCAAATGTAAAAATTAATTTTATTAATTAATTAATTGTAACAATTATTTCTTTAAGCTTACGTTTAAATGAGATAATGTTCAATAAAAACTGGAGATTTTTCAAAATTATTTTATTGCATTCATACGGTCATTGAAAAACTTTGCAAAACTTACTGTAATTCGTTTGAAAATATGGCTGCTTAACAAAGTTATAATTGTATTTATTTTTTATCTTTTTACATATAAATTATGTAAAAAAACTGGAAAAGAATTGATTTTAGATAAAAATATATAACAAAGAACACTATAAACATTAAGTTGAAATATATTTAGTGCATTCATTTTTCTTAATAGAGGCTTTGCTTAGGTAAAACGTTCACTAAAATTTATTAAACGTGCTATACGCTTCTGATGACGATGAAAAGGTTGCCTTTGTTGGTACTATCCCATGCAATATTTGCATAGTTAATATGGCTATGAATAAAAGAGAAATATAATTGAGTTAGAGTTTTTTTATTCAAGAAACTTCTTTCTTTATATAAAATTCCTATACTTTTTTAAGTTTTGTTGCATAAATTTTTAATGTGATTTTTCACCAATATGATTACCACAAGTAATCATATTGATAAAAGAACGCTAATGGATACAAATTGTTTGCGATTATTTAAATAACTTTTTTAGCCATTTAAGAAC